ATCTTGTTGTTTTGTGCAAATAGTGACGCATATCATCTCCTGGGAGATTATAAATTTATAACGCTCAAGTGATTTACATCCAGAATTTGCTGATGGTTATATGATGGAATCTTGCATTATTTTGCCATGTTCTTTCCTTGGTGAAACACTTGCATATAAGTTGCAAGATTTGAAATAACATAGGACTTTGTATGACATAACCTAATCCAAAAAAAGGTGGCTGATCCACCATGTAGTGGTATTTCACAATCTTCTTTCATACAAAAACACTTGCCTGTCTATAAGCAGTCATCCTTATTATTTGGAAAAGAAACGCCGCATGCAACTTGCTGTCGCATCTTGGAAGCTTATGTTCGTGGTCATTTATGTGCAGGAAATATATTTGCTTAGAAATAACATCAGAGTACACGTTTAATAGTTGGAACCCAACTTAAGAGGAAAAATAGGGGTTCACATAATCACATGGTCGAATTTGAAGAGAAGAATTATAGCTTGTCAAGTATTTTCATCTAGCATGCTGCAGGGACCCTCATTAGGAGTTTCTGATATTGTAAATAGTTGGTTTCATTTAGCTTCTATTTTACAAATCTCTAATTCAACCTGTAGTTCAACAGAAATCTAATCAGCACATACATTTTGTCTCTGTGCAGGAGGAGAAGAAAAAGGCCATGATGAATGAGATGATAGCGAAGCTGACTGACACTTGCTGGGACAGATGCATCACCGGAAGCATCGGGAGCAGCTTCAGCAACAGCGAAACCTCTTGCCTGTCCAACTGCGCAAAACGCTTTATTGATGTTAAGATGCTCACCATGCAACGAGCAAACAGCAGTAGCTAGGACCAGAATAGGTCTCCTGCCTGCCGCATCTGAATATGGAGTCCAATAAAGTTGATGCAAACCACCTATCTTTCTCCGCAACATTAATGATTTTGTTACTTCTTTTGCTGTTGGACCGTAGTTAGTGTGACGGTTGCCAGAAATTTGTAGATGGTGATTAAAATGTTACTGCTACTATGTTTTCACTTTGATATGGGCAGATGCTACGGCGTGATTAGATTTGAGCAATTATGTTTTTGTACTCCCTCCATTCCACAATGTAGTGCTTCCTTTATCCACGTGCTTCAACTTTGACCGTAAATTTAACTACCAAGACCGATTGCGGCGGGAGCAAAAATTATATCAATGAATTCGTATTTTGAAAAATTATAGCAAAAATTATATCAATCCCTGTCAATCCCCTCTAAATCCCCATGAAAACTATGACTTCACACCAGCCTGTATCAGAAACCTTCTGTGTCGCCATCGCTGATAGGAAGACGACTTGGCACCGGCGAGCACACACCAGCCGACACGGACACCAATGATGAGATGCAGAAGGAGGATGCAAATCTTGCAGTCGCCTCCGATGCCGAGAAAAGGAGTGGAAAAGCATGCACCGCCTCCAGACCTGAAATGGGTTGGTTTTGGTGCTGTTTCAGAGTTTGAAAAGAAAACATGATGATTCAGCAACTTTTAATCAATATATGGCATACGCTACACAGCTAAGCTCTTGCAATAGGAAATTCCAGCGAAGCGCCAGAAATTTGTTACCCTTTGATAAGAAACTATAGTTTTTGACATAATTACATAAACACAAAAAAAAATGTCTGTCTGAGCCCAGGTTCGAACTGGGGACCTTTAGTGTGTGAGACTAACGTGATAACCAACTACACCACCCAGACGACTTGTTCAGACTTCTAACCTAAATCTTATAATAGGATAAGAGTCTCGCTAAACGCAACCACGCCGAACGGTCGGATGGAACAAAACAGAGATGTATGGACTCAGGTGCATCAGAGATGTTATGGACTGAGCTCAGGCTGCAAGTGGTACACTAAGCTACCTTCAAAAAAAAAGTGATACACTAGGCCTAGTTTGGCAGCAAAGTATTTTTTAAACTGTGGTAATTGAAAACCAGAGTATTCTCCTGAATGGGCAAGGAATACCACAGTTTTTTAATAACAATGTTTTTCTCAGTTTCGCATATGTTTGGCTGGTGCTGTCTTATCAAAGTTTTGACCCAAGTATTTGGAGTGGATGACTGAGTAATTAGCCACTGTTAATGGCGGCTGGCTGCATGCAGCCGCCATGCACCGTCCGACTCGATCTAGCTGATACTAGGATCTGTAGAATATGACTATCTCTGATGCACCTACATGCGCGTCAGCTGATCTAGAATATGTCATCCTTCCTTCACGCATGGCCTTTGCATGGGCGGCTGGCATTGAAAGCTCCAACTAGTCCACCTATAGCCGAGGAATCGATGGAGAAGCATGCAAGATCATTGTATACTGATCAGTGCATAGACAAACCCATACCTTTTTTCCCTGGTGGTGAGCTTGATTCGCTCATGATGAAGAGAAGAGATGGAGATGACGCCGGCTGGAAGGACCCGAGAGACCTACTACTCATAAACAAATCAAACTGAATCGGCTATAACATGGAGATATAATAGAGGTTGTTTTACCATATAACAGAAAGAGGGGAAATAGGATGGGGTCGCAGTATCCTTATCTCGATGTATACGGCAACGTCAACTGCGATCTACCCGACGTTTTCTCTCCGTTCTGTTAAAAAAAAGAGGTCGGGACCCCTTTTCCAGATACCGCAAAAAGACCATGGTTTCTGGCATACTGTGGTTTACAAATCTTCGGTTTTTTTCTGAAACCAAACGCAGCAAAGTATTCAAAACCGTGGTTTTTTTCAGAAACCGCGGTATTCTCAGAAAACTTTAAAAAAAACTTTGCTGCCAAACGCAGCCTAAGCTGGAGAGGCCGCGCCCGCCCAACAACTGCCGCATATGTTAAGTGGGAGATCCGCATCTACCCACATAAATTTAAGTGGGACAAGTGGGTTTAGTGGGCATTCCATACAACATCAAAATTCACAAAACACAATAACCTGAACACAGCCAACTCTGCTCTGTGTTACTACCAGTCCTTAGACTACAAAGCCAGGAACGGTAAATAAAAATGACAGCCAGCAACCTCTACGCCCATCCACATTTACAGCAATTGGACATAAATTTTTGGCATGACTCCTATTTCTATCATGTTTTGGCGTGACCCAAATTTTTGTAGAGAGAAGCAAGTAAACAGTCCCTTGTCAGCACTATGAGCTGGAATCTTCAGGTTGATCCACAGATATATGAACTGCAATAAAAATAAATAATACTTTTCAGAATGTACCACAAGAAGAAAGCCTTAAGAAACAGTAGTAAAGAGGGCATTTGTTTCATAACATGAGCTAAAAACAACATAATTCAAGCCTACGCTTACAAGCTCCAGCGATTTTCCTTACATTTTTCCTTAACAAACTTAAGATGAGCACAGAAATAATCTTTATTACTACCTCTATACCAAAATATAAGACGTTTTTGTAGGCTAAACTAGCCTACAAAAATGTCTTATATTTTGATACGGAGGGAGTAGTTCAACAACAATCAGTGGACTGCATGTACTATACTAAGAAGAAGGACCAATTACCAAGTTAGCAAATACACCAAAAGTGGGCTTATTCACAGATTAAAATAATAGCAAATCAGAAACTGTGATTGGATTGATGATAGTGATATAATCCTTGGTTCAGAACTTGAAGTCAATTCTTATGCCATCTTCCCATAGCAAGTAAAATCAAGACTTTACTGTATATATTAGCTGCAAATTAAGGGAGACTTCATGGACATACAGTAATCAAATCTTTTACGGGCATCAATCTCTTCCTGCACCGCCACGGCACCTGAAGCTGCACTGACCGCCACGCCTGATCCTATCGCTTGATTCACAGACGATTAGGACACGCCCGCTTCCTGCACCGTCACATCACTTTCAGGTTACAAAATATAAATACAGAATACACAGGAACCAAGCTAATGTCCTGAACTTACAGCTGCTAATCCACCATCATCAGTTGAGTATGTTCTGAGCCGCGTAACTGCAGAGGAGACACTAGATAACTCGGCCGGAGCCATTCACTCTATTTCTCATCCCACTAAAACTTGATCTTGCTCCAACCACACCTTCGCGTAGAATGACTGAAACTGAGTCTTCCTGCAGTCCTGCCCCTCAACTCCCTGCTTATATACACAGCTTGGGCAAACCTCCCGCCCTTGTTGTTAAAATTTTGAATTTGTGTGTTTTCCTCTTCACTCGCAAGCAGGCAAATGGACCTGTCAACATGCTGGCTTTTAACGCAAACAACATTAAACCTTTGGAGCATACACCAAGCAATTGTAAATTTGTAGTCAGAAATTTCATATCTTATTACTAAATTCAGAACAAGGCACAGCCTACATCAACTGATTGACAGATCAACATCTGTGGCATATTCATGAGCTAAGCAGGTTGTTGTCATGCTAACACCGGAGAAGCTACGGCAAGGCCAGATGAGCCGTGGCCCGCCCAGGACTGAAGCAAAAATAATAATCGCATGATGCCCAGCACACAACAATGCATTGATTTTAGCATTGTTTCTACTCTGTGGCCCGCACAGCTTTTCTTTGGTAGCTCCGCCACTGAATGCTAACATGGCATACCCATACAGTTTGATTGGCCAAAAAACCTCACTTCGCTAGGTTACAACTATTGTGTAATCAAACTCCGTGTCCCATCCCAATGAATCTATCAATAACATTCATTGGCTATTGACTAAATCATAGAACTTAAATTCAGTTATACTGCATAAGGCCCCAGCAAATTATCATTTGAATCTCATCCTTGACACTTGACACTTGATATTGCAACATTATCTTAGAAAATTAGGATTTTTACCTTGTTCTTCCGGGGCTAGTCTTGGTTCTTGAGGGTTCTTTGCAGACTTCAACGCCGTCGCCAACCGCTGATTCCGGCTGCTTCGTGTTCATGACGCCGTTCATCGTCCAGTCTGGAGTAGGACACAGAACAAGTAGGAACACGAATCTACAGCACATTCTTATGCACATGGCAAACAGCTAATGACCAGTCACCAGAAATCTCCACATGAGCAATGGCCATCTCTGAAGTGATGGAACCGGGTGCGGTCCCTCATGATGATCTCCCTTCCATACACCTGGGAGACGAGCTTCGTGCTCTCGTGACAATCACTGCACACCCGGAGGTTCTTGATGATCCTGATGGGCGCACCCGGAGAGGAGGCGATCAGGGCGAAGGCAATGGCGAGCCTCTCGCTATGGTAGGACAGAGCATCTGCCTTGTCCTCCTCCTCGACGTTGAACATCACAGCCGTGGTGCTCGGCCGGTGCCCGCTTTCCTTCAATCTGGCCTCGATCTCTTGAACCATGGCGTACATCTCCCTTGAGGCAGGGTGTGTCTTGTCACCAATCAAGAACTCATGGAGAACACCGTCGATGTCAAGGAGGCTTGACCCAGGGCTCTTGTCAATGCCCATGGCCTTCATCTCCTTCCTCGCCTTCTTTGCGTCCTCCCATAGTCTCATTCTCACGTAGAAGTTGGACAGCAGGACATAGTTTCCACTGTGCTCTGGCTCGAGCCTCATCAGCTCTTTGATCGTCCTCTCCCCAAGTTCTAGCTTGCCATGAATCCCACATGCCCGTATCAAAGACCTGTACATTGCGGCGTTCGGCGGAATGTCCATCCCTCGGATAAGCTTCTTGGCAACATCAAGCTGACCAGCTCGGCCCAGTATGTCAACCATGCATCCATAATGCTCGATCCTCGGTGTGACCCCAAACTGAATCTCCATTCTATCGAAGAGCCACCGCCCTTCATCCACCAACCCAGCATGGGCGCACGCGCACATCACCGCCAGCACCGTGACGCTATCAATCGGGTAGCCCTCGGCACACATCCTGTCAAACAAGGTGAGGGCAGCTCGGCCATGCCCATGGAATGCCAAGCCCTGGAGCATGGCATTGTAGCAGCGCGTGTCCATGTCCGTAACGCCAGCGAACACCTGCTCGGCCAGGTCCATTTTCCCGCACCTGGTGTACATCTCTACAAGCGCTGTGGCCACGTAACAGTTCACGGCCAGCCTGTGCCTTAGAGCATACGCGTGCGCCCACAGGCCATGCCCGAGAGCGCCGAGCTCCCCGCATGCGCCGACGACGGTGACGAGCGTGATCTCGTTTGGCGGGACCGTCGATGAGACCATGCGCGCAAACAGCTCAAGAATCTCCGCCGCCTCGCCAGCGCACGACGAATCCCTGACCCGGCGCGCATAGGTGGTGAGCAGCGCGTTCCAGGCCGGCAGGTCCGGCTGGACGATCCTGTCGAACACCCGGCGGCAGGACGCGATCCTACCGCAGCGGGCGAAGGCGTCGAGCAGCGCGGCGCCGAGGACGCGGTCGCGGGAGGCGGCCCCGGCGCCGAGGAATTTAAGCGAATGGGTGGCGAGCGCGAGCGCGGTGCGGGGCGGGGAGGCGCGGAGGAGGGCCGGATAGGTGAACTCGTTGGGGCGGAGGAGCGGGGGAGAGGCGAGGAAGAGGAGGGAGTAGAGGGGGAGCGCGGAAGGGAGGTGCGCGAGGAGGAGGGAGTTGGCGAGGAAAGAGGTGGGCGGCAGCGGGGAGCAGAGGAGGAGCTGGAGGCGGCGGGAGAGGGAGGGGACGGAGGAGGAGGCGAGGCGGAGGAGGAGGGCGAAGTTGGGGGAGTGGAGCGCGAGGCCGGAGGTGAGGAGCAGCGCGTGGAGCTGCCCGAAGACGCGCGGCGCGGCGGCCCGGAGCCGGCGGAGCGCCGGCAGCGGGTCGGCGGCCAGAGCGTGGCGGGAGGGAGCCGCGTCTGGGCTCATTTGCGCCATGGGCTAATTGGGAATCATTTGCCTTTATGGGCTTGAGTAACACTAAAGTCTTGGCCCAGGAACTGGACATAAACCATGGTTGATGCGACCTAATTTCTGGAAGCAACTAGTTAACGAGCGCACGGAATATGGAGGATTTTTGGACGTGACACCCAGATAGGAAGGGTGTTTTCTCTGTTAGCTTTGCATACAAATTCATTATCAAAACCGAAATGCAGCGGGAAGACTGGCTTGAAGGGAGAAGTGGTGCGTCGAATAACTCAAGACAGGAGGAAGATTGGACTACGCTTTGGAGGTTCTCGGTTCCATCTAAAGTGAAAATATTTCTGTGGAGACTGGCACGCCACTCACTACCGACAACAGATGTGCTAAAAAACGGAACATGTCTACGGTTGATGCATGCCCTTTGTGTGGGAGGGAAGACTCTTGGAGACACGCACTAATCAGTTGCACCATGGCGCGTTGTATTTGGGCCTTGTCAGATTCAGAGATGGTGCAGCGTATGGGAGATAATCAGGAGCCGGGTGCCAAGAACTTTCTCTTCAACATGCAGGAGTCGTTGAGCCATGACCAGTTTACAACTATGGTTGTTACCCTATGGTCCATCTGGTACACAAGACGGAAAGCGGTCTATGAAGCTATTTTTCAGAGCCCAAGTCAAACAAATTCATTCATTAACTCATATTTGATGGATTTGCAAGGACTGCATAAACCAGCAACAAGCAAGGTTCCTGGTGCGAGCTCGGGTCCTAGGGTGGCAGAAGTCCAGAGGTGGCTGCCTCCGATGGGGGACAAAGCAAAGATCAATGTTGAAAGTGCGTTATATCGACTAGAGGGGGGGTGAATAGGCGATTTTTATGAAAGTCTTCAAAACGTGGAAGTTTCGAAGACAAACGATAGAAATAAACCTATTACCATGCAGCGGAAGGTAGACTACACTAGGCAAACCATAGTCAAGTATTCAATGAAGTGAAAGCACAATGACTAATAGCAACAATGTAGTGAGGATCAGGTAGGAAGATATTATGAAGCCAAACAGAACACGCAGTCACTCGGTGAAGACAAAAGATAGTGCAATCATACAATGACTTCACGAGGACCAACAGTAAGTAAAGGGAAGGGAAGGATGAAACCGGTGACTCGTTGAAAACAATGATTTGTTGGACCAGTTCCAGTTGTTGTGACAACTGTATGTCTGGTTAGGGCGGCTAGGTATTTAAATCTGAGGACACACAGTCCCGGACATCCAATCCTGAACACGCAGCTCAGGACACCCAGTCCTCACCGTATTCCCCTTGAGCTAAGGTCACACAGACCTCGCCCAATCACTCTGGTAAGTCTTCAAGGTAGACTCCCAAACCTTCACAGACTTCGTTCACCGGCGATTCACAATGTCTCTTGGATGCTCAGAACGCGACGCCTAACCGGCTGGAGGATTCACAGTCCTCAAGTGTAATAAGTCTTCAGATCACACAAACAAGAAGACTTAAGTGATGCCTAACACTCTTTGGCTCTGGGTGGTTAGGGCTTTATCCTCGCAAGAAATTCTCTCTCAAAGGCTTCGAGGTGGGTTGCTCTCAAACGACAAAAGACATACTCTAACTCTGGGCAACCAACCGTTTATGGTTGTAGGGAGTGGGCTATTTATAGCCACTAGGCAACCCGACCTGATTTGTCCGAAATGACCCTGGGTCACTAAGGAACTGACACGTGTTCCAACGATCAGATTTCAAACACACACGGCAACTTTACTTGGGCTACAAGCAAAGCCGACTTGTCCGACTCTGGACAAGATTCGCTCTCATAGTCTTCACTCGAAGACATAGGTTTTGGTTAAGCATCACTTCAGTCATTCTGACTGGTTCACTTGGACCCCACTTAACAGTACGGTGGTTCCTATGACTCAACAAAGAAGAAACAGAACTACGAAAGATCTAAGTCTTCGAGCTCCATAGGCTTCATGCGATGTCTTCTCTTGTCATAGTCTTCGATGAGAATATCTTCATAAACCACCTTTGACATCAATGTCTTCATACATTTTTAGGGGTCATCTCTGGTAGGAAAACCGAATCAATGAGGGACTTCTACCTGTGTTATCCTGCAATTCTCACAAACACATTAGTCCCTCAACTAGGTTTGTCATCAATACTCCAAAACCAACTAAGGGTGGCACTAGATGCACTTACAATCTCCCCCTTTTTGGTGATTGATGACAAACTAGTTGAAGTTTTCAACGGGGAATATAATATGTGAAATTGTAAAGGAATTGTCTTCATTAGTTGCAAGGGCTCCCCCTGAAGATGTGCATATAAGTAATTTGCTTTTGGAATGCAAATGCACATGGCAGGTTGTATTCGTGAAGATCCTCTTCAACTTATGATGACAATTCATTATGCATGAGAAGGTATGTGAAGATAATGACATGCATAATGAAAAATGGACGTCTGCAAAATGATCTAAGTGCGGAATTTATCGTCGCACATGCGGAATTTACCATCGCATCACAAAGTAGCAAATAAGTAGCAGACGGCCATCGAGTTTAGGTGTTACAACTCAAAGAACCAAATGTTTCAAAACGAGAGTTGTAAACACGAGGCAAAATATAAAGCAACCGCCCATGTGGACCCGCTTGAAGACTATCAAACTCATATGCTTCTGCCCCTTTTGTCAGTAAGGAACAAAAAGGTTTGAAGACATAGAGCATCTACTCGTTCCCTTGAAGAGTAGGTGAAGCAGCAGGGTCGTCGGTGGTGTTCGGCGATGCAGAAGAACTTGGAGCAGTGTCGAAGCGTGCTGAAGGAGGTGGCGGTGAAGTCGCATCATCTTCATCCTCGATCACTCTGGCATTCACAGTTGCACCAGAGGAAGAGAACTTAGAGTCTTCAAGAGATGGAGTTCGTCCCAGCACTGCCCTTCGAGGAGGTGTGGAGTCAAACTTGAAGCGTTCAAAGAAGCCATCCTCTTAAAGATCATCTTCAGAGCACATAAGCATCAGCCCTTTCCATGTGCGTCGAGAGGTTTCATGTGCAACAAAGGCATTCTTGGTGGCAAGATTTCGAATACGGTTGACATCCACCAAGAGGCTTTGCATTTGGCGCTTCAGCCAGTCATGATGCCTATCCTGTTTCTGGTGAAGAGCCACCAGAAGCTCTCGGTCATTGAGAACACGAGTGCGCTTCTTGGGTCGTTGGGCAATTGTGCTATCGGTGGCTTCAGTAAGGGCAGGATGTGGTGCACGTGTAGTTCCAGCCAAAGGATACACACGAGTGACTGCTTCAATTCCTTCAATGTTCTGAGAAAAACTTTGATGCTCCGCATTCTGAAGACTTAGAGGTTCCTTGGCAGGCTCAGGATAAATGGCTTCAACAGACATATCCACATCAGGCAGAAAGATCCGATGATTGCGAGCAGATGGCTGATATGAGATAGCGGAGTGGAGTTTAATCAGCCGCATTATCCATGGAGCGTAGAAATTCAAGCCAAAAAGATCAGAACCTGATGCAGCAAGTTGGCGGATGAAGAAGTCCTGTGCATTGAAGCATTTGCCATGAAGAATATAGAAGACCAAAGTCTTCATTGCGCCTTCCAGCTTGGCATGTGGAGAATGTCCTTTGATGGACCAGAGAGTTCGCCTTATGATGTGATAAATAGTCCTTGGCAGATACTCAAGGTCTTCAACGAAGAACTCCTTGGGATATGCAGCATCTTGGGGCAATGGCTTCATCATACTGAGCATCGGACTCATGTTTGGTTCAGGCTTCTGAAAAGATGCTCCCCATAGCTTCACTGTGAAGCTGATAGCCAGGTTCGTAGAGATCGCCAGGAGTGGGTAGACCAGTGAGCTCAATGATATCAAAGGCTTTGGCTTCGTGATGAACATTTCCTGTCATCCACTCCAGGACCCAAGTCTTCGGATCTCTGTTGTACCCACGGATGTGAAGTGTGGCATAGAATTGGAGCAGCAACTCTTCATTTCAGTGCTCTTGGTCGGTGACAAACGACAGCAATCCAACCTCTTTGAAGCAATTCAGAGCTTCTTCCAGACAGGGCAGACCAGCTATTGCTTCAATGTCAAGACGCTTGTGTGGGAAGATGCGACCTTGATTGTATAGAATGCAGGAGTAATAGCTTTGTTGCGGATAGCTCAAGAACCGATCAGATGATATTCTTTCCCTTGAGTAGGGGTTCCTGGAGCTATTGAAGAAAGTGTTGTCTGCTTTGAAGCCATTGACATTGAAGGATCCAGGTGCTGATGCACGACCTGGAAACCTGGGCAATCTGGGGATTGGCTTCTGTACCTGAGGCCTGTGCTCAACATGGTAGTCAAACTGAGGACCAGCAGCAGGCACAGGAACAGAAGCAATAGCATCATTGGCTTCACTGACTTCTGGTGCTTGGGTTGATGAATGCTTCACATTGGCTTCAGCCATGACAGCGTTAGTGGCGTCGGTGGCAGCCTCAAAATTCTCAACCTCCACTTGATGAGCTGGAGGGTCGGTCATAGTCACGTTCTCCTCGAGAATAGCTTCTTGGTGAGACGGGGGTGTAACAGTGCTTGGGGTTTCTTCTTCATCGGCTGATGCAGCCGGAATGTCTTCAACAGCTTTAGCTTCAGACTCAGAGACTGGAGGCCTTGGTCCTTTGCGAAGCCTGCGTAACGCTGGCGACGCCTGTGGAGTTGGAGTTGGCTGGGCCTCAAAATCTTCTTCCTCTTGTGCTTGTGGGTGATCAGCCCAGGATGCATCCTGAGCAATTGGCGTCAGAGGATGACCAATGCTGATGAGCTTGCTGTGCGTTAGCACAGGTGATGATACCTGTTGGTGCTCGAGCTGAGGAAGAACTGCATCATCTTCAACATGGTCATGGTGACCAATGTCTTCAGCAGCGATGGGATCAGCTGCTGGAAAGTCTTCAGCTTCATGAGCCTCTGTGAAAGCAGGCTCATGGACAGTCAGTTGGCGCTCCTGAGGTTCAGCGTCAGGGTGAACCATGGAGATGGG